TGAAGGCCACCGCCGCTGTGCCCACCGCTGTTTCTGCCGAAGATGATGGTGATGATGCCATTACGTCCATGCGCAACACAAGCGGCGCGTTAGTGGAAATGGAAGAGTGTTTTGGGGCTGAAAGTCATCAAAGTGCGGGGCAGCTGGAGGCATATCAGCCTGCACCGGAGATCAACTCCACACGAGACGTCGTGGAGCGAGAAAATAAGTCCACGGCGGATTTAACATGGCCGGAGTACATCCGCGTACAGATCCCGTACCTTTTGTCCGAGCAGATTATTGCCAGCTTTTTAGGGTTGCTGGTTGCTCTTGTCCCCCCTTTCTATCTTCTGGCGAAGAACCCTGTGGGGGAGGTGTTAATGGGTGGGATTTCTTTTTTGGCTCCAGGTGCCGTCCCGCTGCAACTTTTGGTACTCGGCGTCAACGTCACGGCAGACGATGAAGACGACTCCAAAAAACTTCCCATTCGTTTTCTGGCAGTTGTCATTCTTCTTCGTCTTTTTTTCATTCCTGCTATTTGTTTCTGCATTATCCACTTTCTCGTGGTGAATGCCCTTATGCCCTACGATAAGCCGTTTATATTAGTGATGCTGATACTAACATCCGCACCGACAGCGATAAACACGTCTAGTATATGTTCTATTTATTCTTACAAAGTCAAAGAGTATACAAAAGTGCTTCTCTTCATGTATATGGCATGCATTTTCACGACAACTGTATGGCTTACAGTATATGTTTGGTATCTGGATTCCTAAAAGGAATATGCATTGACCTTATATATAAATATATATATATGGCATGTATGCATGTACGGAGACGAAGGAATCAAACAAAAATGAAATTGCGAGTGTGAAAAGTTATTGTTTTTACCGATTTTCTTTTTTTTTTTTCTTTTCTTTTCTTTTCTTTTCTTTTTCTTTACAACCTGCTTGAAGTGCCTTCGGGTACATATTTTAGACACGTTATATATATATATAGCACATGTGCATACATTTATTTTTCTTTTTCTTTTCAATTTTTTTTTTTTTTTTGAAGGGTTCCAAAGAAATGATATTTGTATTTGCCGTTGTTTTTATTTATTGGGCCCTCTTACACGCTTTTGCTTTTTTTTTTTTTTTTTTGATTAATTAACAGGATTCTCTGTTATTCCCTTTCTCTTCCCTTTTCTCTCTCTGTGGGTGCAACAGCGGCTACGGAGGATAATTGAGGAAAATGGTTGGTCGTCGTTGTGTCCTTCTCTTCTCTTTTTTCTCGATGCATGACTTTCTTTGTGTCGCGAGTCAAACGCACATTTGTTGTTGTTGTTGTTTTTGCTTCTCGAAGTGCCGAGGAGTCTTCCGCTGAGAATTTTCACGTGGTGGCAAAATGCATGCCTTTTGTTTTTGAATTTTTTTTTGCCTGTTTTTGCAAATAAGTTTCCAAAGAAGGGGAACGGCAGCCGTTTTTTTGCGTGTGGGAGCCAACGAGCACAGGGAAGGCGTTCATGCCGTGTGTTGTCTGCCACCAGGGCCGCAGGGTAAAGAGCCTCACCGGGCCCCGGTTTGGAATCCGCTCGAGGATACCAAACACGGCTGCTCTAGAACACGATACGCGTACATGTACATATATATGAGAAGGGTGAAGTCTCACGCTGGCAGCTGCGCCCTCGCTTCAACGTGATGGGGGCCGCATGAGCCCTAAATGCAGAGAAAAATGTGCATCGCCTCGGTTGCATGAATGCCCCATCGCTGAAGTCCGGGAGTAAAGCTGAGAAAAAAAGGGAGATTCATTGGTAAATGGATGCTCACATCACCCTTGAAGTAAAACCATGCGTCTTGTTCATAGGATGCCATCAATTCTATTGGAGAAAAAGGACTCGCTAGTTAATCCTTCAGTAAATGAGTGCATCGACTGTCAAGAACCATATCGGACACACAAGCCTCCCACCTTATGATGACACGATACCGAGTGCCACGTCTGCACGAAACTTTGCCCATCCTACGATGGTTGTATAGATTGCTCTTAACACATACGGGGTTGAGTTGCTTGTAAGATTATAAAATAACAACGCGAAACGCTTTTGGTATGCGTCTTGATTTATATCCTGATATTTTATTTTTAAATTCAATTTAACGGCATAGGGAACGCGTACTGTCACGCACAACACAATTCCCGCCTTATTTCCGTGCGCCACGCCTCCCCATTGCGATTTTTCTCTGGTGATGCATGGCTGCAACTGTAAGGAGAAACCAGGCGCTGTGTTGCGCTATCCTCTTTCCATGTGTTCAGTTAAATGGGGGGAGACTGTCGCTGTTTCCGTGGCGTCTGTGTGCATGCAGTGGGACCCTTCTGCTATCCATACCTCCTTCTGTTTTAGAATACCGCGCTCAATAGTTGCTGCAAGGGTGAGTGGAAGCAAGTGGGGAGCTCATGGCGTCACTGTCCAGGCGGCGTGTCGCCATAATCACCGGTATCACCGGACAGGACGGGTCGTACCTTGCGGAGCTGCTCCTTAGCAAGGGATACGATGTGCACGGCGTCATTCGGCGGTCTTCGTCCTTTAACACGGGCCGCATCGACCACATCTATCGCAATGAGCATCTCACGCTCCACTACGGCGACATGACAGACGGCACGGTGCTGCACCACCTCATTGCGCGGCTGAGGCCCGACGAGGTGTACAACCTCGCCGCACAATCGCACGTAAAAGTGTCCTTCGACACGCCCGAGTACACGGGGCAGACGGACGGCATTGGCACGCTGAAGATCCTCGAGGCCATACGCGCCAACAACCTGGTGGAGACGTGCCGCTTCTACCAGGCAAGCACCAGCGAGCTCTACGGCAAGGTGCAGGAGGTGCCGCAAACGGAGAAGACGCCCC